GAACAGACCTTTTCCTTTCTTTCACTTCACTCACTTTCGTAATTTCAGTACAATCATTTGTAATACATTACTTAGCCATTTTATAGGCCAAGTTTGGCACACATATCTAGACATATTAAATATAATAATGTATGATAATGTTCATTAGTAACTAGTGGTAAATTCCACTTTTTACACAATACTATTGTTTTAGTCATTTGCACATAAATATGTGAATTTGTAATATAAATTATATACTTTTTTTCTTTATTTTAATTACTTTAATCATAATATATTAACATTATTTGATGTTAACAAATTTCACGATTTTTTGAATGGATAACAAATGTATAAACTTAATCATTTATTTTATTTGATTCTTTTTTGTCAGTTGATTTTTTTGATCCTCTGACTAATTGATACAATGTTTTGACAAACTTGTTAATTCTCTATTTTAATACTTTATAATATATATCTAGGATGTGATTGGTTGCAATAATGGATTGAACATGATATAATCATCTTGATTATATCAAAGCTATCTACCAATTCAATTAACTCATTATCATGTTTGGTTTAAAGTTGAAAATTATATCTTTTAAATTGTAAATTTTATATCCTTCAAATTAATTATTCAGAAATTACGATTAGAATTTTGAGATCGGAAAATGGGATTTGAGATCGGAAAATCAATTCAATTAACTCCATATTGTGCATCAATTAGAAGTGAACCCGACAAGAAGAGTCGTGGCGGGGGCCACCGTGGCCAGCAGATGAAGGAGGAGTGCGGAAGAGGAAGCACGGCGAGTCGAGGTATGAGGGAGGAGGCGCCTGCAGCAAGAGATGGGGGGAGCAAAAGTCGATGGGGTCGGCGGTGATGGAGTGGAAGACGACGGCGTAGAGGGACTGAGGGAGGAGGCACCATCGGACATAAATGGGGTCGAAGGAGCATAAGTCGATGGTTCGAGGAAGGAACTGGCAGCTATGGATCTAACAAAGGGAAAATCATATGAGATGGGATTGGTGGTGGTTGTCGTCGTCATGGTGGTGGTTGTCGTCGTCGTGGGAGAGCTTGACGACGTGGATTTGGCAGAGGAAATGAGAAAGCAACAGAGAAGAGAAGAAGAAGAAATAAGACGTGTATAAGGGAA